TTGAGTTGTATGATGACCTGATTGTGGGATTCCCCCGAAGTAATAAACACACACATTCAGAAGAAATAACTGCAAGTTTCTTGTAGCGGGAAACAAATACACCTCCTCAGCAGCTCCCATTGTCACTTTACACAACACTGCCTCCAAGGTTCAATCAAAGGAGTAAAGCACTGGTAAAGTTTTGTGTTGCAGGTTTTGTCTTGACAGTATGACTAGATGTACTGAATTGAGACTAGATGTACTGAATTGAGACTAGATGTACTGAATTGAGACTAGATGTACTGAATAGAGACTAGAAGCCAGGGTGAGATGGGAGATTATTAGACCAGATACGGCATTTGATGACTGTTGAGGATGATGTGAGGAGGTATTGAACCAGATGAATCACGATGCTTTTCATTGTAATCTTGTCCTGTACAAGGGGGTCTATGACCGACACAGCAAGGGTTACACTGTCACCTGGTATACAGGAGTCGTGGAACTTGGTTGTGTCTGTTGTCAGTAGTGCCTCAATCAGATAACCAGCTCAACCTGCTGTGATTACGGTCTATAGTATACCGGGGAACTAAATCACATACTGTCTTCTCAATCTGCCACTCCTAGGGGGATTACAGTCTATAGTAGACCAGGAACTACAGGAACTACATCACATACTGTCTTCTAAATCTGCCACTCCTAGGGGGATTACGGTCTATAGTAGACAGGGGAACTAAATCACATACTGTCTTCTCAATCTGCCACTCCTAGGGGGATTACGGTCTATAGTAGACCAGGGACTACATCACATACTGTCTTCTAAATCTGCCACTCCTAGGGGGATTACGGTCTATAGTAGACAGGGGAACTAAATCACATACTGTCTTCTCAATCTGCCACTCCTAGGGGGATTACGGTCTATAGTAGACCAGGGACTACATCACATACTGTCTTCTCAATCTGCCACTTCTAGGGGGATTACGGTCTATAGTAGACCAGGAACTACATCACATACTGTCTTCTCAATCCGCCACTTCTAGGGTGATTACAGTCTATAGTAGACCAAGAACTACATCACATACTGTCTTCTCAATCCGCCACCCCTAGGGGGATTACGGTCTATAGTAGACCAGGAACTACATCACATACTGTCTTCTAAATCTGCCACTCCTAGGGGGATTACGGTCTATAGTAGACCAGGGACTACATCACATACTGTCTTCTCAATCCGCCACTTCTAGGGTGATTACAGTCTATAGTAGACCAAGAACTACATCACATACTGTCTTCTCAATCTGCCACTCCTAGGGTGATTACGGTCTATAGTAGACAGGGGAACTAAATCACATACTGTCTTCTCAATCTGCCACTCCTAGGGTGATTAGGGTCTATAGTAGACAGGGGAACTACATCACATACTGTCTTCTCAATCTGCCCCTCCTAGGGGGATTACGGTCTATAGTATACCGGGGAACTAAATCACATACTGTCTTCTCAATCTGCCGCTCCTAGGGGGATTACGGTCTATAGTAGACCAGGGACTACATCACATACTGTCTTCTCAATCTGCCTCTCCTAGGGGGATTACGGTCTATAGTAGACCAGGAACTACATCACATACTGTCTTCTCAATCTGCCACTCCTACGGTGATTACGGTCTATAGTAGACCAGGAACTACATCACATACTGTCTTCTCAATCTGCCACTCCTAGGGGGATTACGGTCTATAGTATACCGGGGAACTAAATCACATACTGTCTTCTCAATCTGCCGCTGCTAGGGGGATTACGGTCTATAGTAGACCAGGGACTACATCACATACTGTCTTCTCAATCTGCCTCTCCTAGGGGGATTACGGTCTATAGTAGACCAGGAACTACATCACATACTGTCTTCTCAATCTGCCCTTCCTACGGTGATTACGGTCTATAGTAGACCAGGAACTACATCACATACTGTCTTCTCAATCTGCCCCTCCTACGGTGATTACGGTCTATAGTAGACCAGGGACTACATCACATACTGTCTTCTCAATCTGCCCCTCCTACGGTGATTACGGTCTATAGTAGACCAGGGAGTACAAGTCCTGTATCACATACTACCTTCTCAATCTGACAAGGGTGTCAGTAGTATGGTCTGTAGTAGACACTTCCTGCCTTCTGTCCCCACCCTACAGGGGCCCCGGGGGACACAAAGTAAAAGGGAATGATGGGGGGTGGGTATTCACTGCTTTGTCTGTGCCAGGCACCTGAAGGGTCCTCCACACAATGCTGTATGCCCAACTAGGCCACTGCTCCCTGTTGCGGCCAGGGTCAGAGTGTCTATCAAATTACATCAGATACTACAAGTATTGGGCCAGCTTTCTGATAATTGACAATTCACTTTCTGAGATGGTCTGGTTTCTAAGACCTGCTGCTGTTTTAAAAACACTTAGTGATTAAATTTAGAACAGACAACAGACTGGAGTATATACTTGCATCTCAATATTGTTGTCAGTCTGCTAACATGGCTAATTCATCGAGAAATAAAGATTTTTTGTTCAAATATACCTATCATATTCTATTAGGGCTGAAACGATATCCCGGGACACCGATGCATCGCGATTCACTCCATACGATACGGTGTGCGATTTGTGAGGTGCTGTATCTCGATTTTTCACGATACGTTTTTTTCAAAGACGTATATACGTACGTCTTTGTTTTTGTACATAAACTTTTATCACAGATACGTTTTAAATGTGTTTAAACTCTTTCAACACCGTAGGCACCAATTCCCGAGGCACCGGCCATAGGCCGGTTAACTGGCCAAGCCTTAGTCACGTCAAAATAGTATATATTTTTATGGACCTACCTGTCATACCATTCATTTATTAAATGTATCACATCTCACAATGTCTGAAATACGAATTCTATTTCAATTTATCCTTTTTATCGATAGATTAAAAAGTTATTCACTATTTCCCGCAATGTTATTGGAAATATAATTCTCGGACGCACACTTAGACAACGGGTGCACATCAAACATGTCAAAGCGCAAAACAAAGACGTTTCAAGCAAATCTTTAAATTTATTATACAAAGTTATAAATAAAATCTACAAAATATATCTAAAAGTGGTCAAACTTACAGCTAAGTTATTATTTCCATCTTTTCATGCGATCGCGTGTAATGTTAGTCAAATGACATCTTGGCTTTCGGCGCCTCGAATTCTCGGCTCAGACACGATGTTCAATGCCAAAATATATGCATGAAAAATCTTTGTCACAGCTTGTAACCTAGTGTGATACGTCCACGAAGCTCCATATTTTTAATATAGATCGCGATTCCCTGCTTAAAACGTTCAGAATAACACGATTTAACCAAAATATTTCGTAAAAATCTGAAATTCATCGTACACGAGGAGTTGTAATTTGATTGCCTGCCTCAGGTCACGTGCTCAAATTTGACCAATCATGAACCTTGTAGCAGATTTCGGCAAGAAAGCGTCATTAGGAACCATTTTTTATCCAATGAAATCTTATGTTATACCTTCGAAAAGACTCCAGGCAATGTTACGAGCTTGTAGATGAAACAACAAACTTTCTAACGATGTGTCATATGTCAGTCTTCGACGAACGTGTTATTCATACGAAGCTTTCGAAAACGGAGGTATTTCTCATGTTACTTAGCGGACAGCCGCTGTTATCTGGTAATGGGTGAAATAAAAACTATTCATAATTCTTTTTAAAATAATTTTCCAATTACGTAAATGAAAATAAAAAAGAAATAAGTAGATTTAGATCTTTTGAAATCTTATATTTGCCCTAAATCATCAAATTTTCGCTTCCTTGGTCCTTAATCTGGACGTTATGAATGTGTTAGCTTACATTTTGTATATTTACAATGAACTTAATTAAGTTGTCAATGCATTATTTAAATAATGTTATAAACACAACTTTCATATTTATAAACACCAGGATTAGACCTCTCAAATGGTGTATAACATGGCTGTTGCTACAATTGTTTTTAATTGTCTTTTTGCCTTTATACATGAAAATGGAAAATCATTAGTTACTGGACACTGGTACATTTAGTATTTACTCCTAGAATCTACCATCTAGTCACAACTCACAAATATGTAGGACTGTTACTTTTGTGTTTGCTAGCCATTTACATGGTAATGGCAGATGATTCATTAAGTTAAAATACTCATTACAGTATATATTTTATGACTCATGAATGTTCATTCACTTTCATTCAATTTTTCATTTTAATAAACTAAGTTTAATTCATTTATCTCTTTTCTTCTCTTGTCACTATGTGTATCGTAGCGTATCGAGATACGTATCGAATCGTGATGTAAGTATCGAGATACGTATCGTATCGTGACCTAGGTGTATCGTTGCAGCCCTATATTCTATATGGGGTTTTGGTGAGAGCAGTTTAATCTGCCCTTTGAGAAGGACAAATGGAGACAGACGGATGGACAAACTCCATTCCTATATCCCCTGCCCTACTTCTGGCAGGGGAAAAGAACTCCACATATAATGCACCACATTCTGCTCACCAAATGAATGCTAATGGCGCCACATTAATATTGCCCAAGTCACGGAGCAGTGAGCAGTGAGCAGTGAGCAGTGAGCAGTGAGTTTTCAAATATATATTTGCACTAATTATGTTCCTACTTAAGTTGACAAAACTAAATTTAAATAGAAATCTAAAACATCACACTCCAAACATTTGTCATCTTACTTTCTTAATGAATCTGGTCCTGCATTTAAACTGCAACAGGTGAAAATGTTATTTATATGAAGGCAGGTGTCAAAATCGGCACTTGAGTACCTTTGCTATCATGTTGTTAAACTTGATTAATAATTAATAAATTAATTATCAGCTCCATGAAACCAAGCAAAGTTGGCTTAAAAAAATGCTAAAAGTCTTGTCTTGTAAGTTGTAACAGAAAACTTTTGCCACAGAAAGGTGCATCTCATCTTGCTATTACCACGTTTGCACAACATCCATGTGAACTAATAAAGAATATCTTACCACATTTATAATTTTTAAAGTTAATATCATCACAATCATAATGGCTGCAGCATTTCAGGAGCACGGACTTGAAAAAATCGGGGGTCTTAGTCGGCTTTAGACGGGTCCAGGGGCGATTCCACAAAGTACAGGTGATCCAGAAGCCCATCGTACTTCCATTTCATGCAATCATTCAATAATTCAGGTAAATCCGCAGTAAATCACAACCGACACGGTGGGATCCCTCCCTCTGCTTCAGATAGTCGTAGTTTTTTCTCCGTCTGTGTGGCGATTTAAAACAGTTTAGAAGCAATTATCTTAATGGAATGCCAAAGACAGAAGAGCACCCTGGGATATGCAGTACTAACGGGATCTGTCCCATGCCGAGTGTCAACAGTCTCTCGTGCTCTCTCAATTCCCAGGCCGGTGCATTATGTCCAGCTCAAGTTTATCAGTTGATCCTGGAAGAAAATACCAGCCTTTGGCATAATTCCTGTTGAAACTTGACACAGGCACATTCTCCATTCTATCGGCATTGATACCGATGTAAAGTTCAGACGAAGGATATCCTATTTCCTACTTTCTGCTTCAGCAGTGGAGTTTGATGAACCCAGTTTTCATCAAGAAGACAACTTGTAATCAGGAGGATGGTTTTCTGTAAAAAGTTTTCTAATCCTCAAGCCATGCACCCAATTTCTATTTTCATTTCCAATCTTGCAGAAACTTGGCTTTATCTTCATAAAAGATGGCAAAAGAAGTCAAAGTTCCGGAAAAACTTTCCCAACATTTGAACATGACTTGGTTACTTTGTTTTTTACATCTGTCAATATTTAACCAACTCTAAAACACAAGTAATCCACAAGTTCATTCCTTTCTGACTTCCTTTCAATCTGGAAAATTACCCGCTTAAGTTGAGGAAAAAAGTCCTCGGCATTGAGGAAGAGTGTTTCAAAATTCTAGGTGATGCAGATGACATTATTAGACCGAGCACACATCCCTAGGAGGAATTTGGCCAACTGGCAAGAGAGCCACAGGAAAGCAAACACGCGGTACCTTTGCCTGCGCAAGACATTTCAATACAGAGCATAGCCTTCGCGAGGCACAGGATAATACAGCATAGATTGGCCACTGTAATACTCCTGGCATACACGTGGCGCTCCGATTGATGAGTTGCTAGCTATCGGAAGCTTAGAGCCTGTTTGGCTTGGTTGATCAAGGAAGTCTTGTGGCTATATTGATCTAGCAGGGGCACCACTGCCTTCGTAGGGCGGTCGGACACACACACCAATTAGGCTAATCCTAGTAGTAGGAAATTACTGTTGGGATTAAGAAGTAAGCATTCTCTAAGATGTCAGAGCGATTGGTTTGTGAGATGAGAATTGTTGTGTGTTTAAAAGGTGAAAGAGAGCATGAGGTGACACAGGGAAGGGAAGCCGGCTTAATGAGACATGTGGGTGTGAGTTGGTTAGGCTCATCTTGCATGATCACGGTACAGTTACGACTGAGGCAAGAGTAGCACCACACTCACATCATCTTCAAGACAGAGAAAGTTGTCTTTGGCCATTCAGACCATAACTGTCCAAATCTTCAGACAAGTTCCAGAACTGTTGCTGAGAACATGTGGCAGGCAATGCCTCCCTTTATATACCAGTAGTAAATACCCTGATCCAACTCTGATTGAAACATACAACTCCAACCTAAAGTATCACTGACCACATCTAGATTTATGGGAAGAACGTACTTTTCCATTCACTGTATTGATGTACTGTAGGGGATTACATATTCCACTGCCTTTGATCAATGATGTTCTGACTTGTATAAGGGCTGTGTGGGGTATATAGGTTTTTTACGGGTTCCCCATTATCATGCTGGATACAAGGGTAGTTATCGAGGGAAGAAACAGCAAAACACCAGGATTATGAAAACACGTTGGTTCAATAATGCATACATCATGCATGGAGCTGCATGGGAGTGTTCAATAGTGGGATGAAAGATGTCCATCCACAAATAGTCCTGTCTCACAAATTGTCAAACATTGAAATTGTCCATGCAGGAAATGAAAACAAAAGCACCTGCGACGCCCTACATTGGTATCACTTGTGTCCACAAAGGGACATGCCATCACACGACACAACACACGACACAATACACAACACCGGCATGCATGAGCCCCGTCAAAACGGGAATACTGTCAGTTCTAAATTCCATTTCATAAATATAGTAAACCTATTCTTGTAAGTTTACCTGGACATTGTGATACTCTCAAGCATTCTATAATGGGTATTGTGATCCTCTGAATCTATATTACAGCAACACTCTCGTTACATGCTTAACGCTCTTGTTCTTGGCAAGTGAAAATGGACACACATGATATTCTCAAGCTGAAGTAGCTGCTCTTCAGTACCCTTAAACCATCGAGGGAAGAAAGCACATTTCAGAAAACACAATTCTGTAAATTATTGAAAATCTTGAGCAATCAATATACAAACAGGTGCAATATCGATGTTTAAATAGTCCATAATTTCTATTTTTTTACTTTACACAGGCGATAAAATCGACACTTTTCTGTCTGATTGCCAACAACCTAAAACATGTACCAGAATACCAAGGTAACATTTTGTGATACTTGAGTTATATGACAGCAAGTCAGGTTACTGTGGGAGGAGTGTCCAGTGTAATATGACAGCAAGTCAGGTTACTGTGGGAGGAGTGTCCAATGTTATATGACAGCAAGTCAGGTTACTGTGGGAGGAGTGTCCAATGTTATATGACAGCAGGTCAGGTTACTGTGGGAGGAGTGTACAATGTTATATGACAGCAAGTCAGGTTACTGTGGGAGGAGTGTCCAATGTTATATGACAGCAAGTCAGGTTACTGTGGGAGGAGTGTCCAATGTTATATGACAGCAAGTCAGGTTACTGTGGGAGGAGTGTCCAATGTTATATGACAGCAAGTCAGGTTACTGTGGGAGGAGTGTCCAATGTTATATGACAGCAAGTCAGGTTACTGTGGGAGGAGTGTCCAATGTTATATGACAGCAAGTCAGGTTACTGTGGGAGGAGTGTCCAATGTTATATGACAGCAAGTCAGGTTACTGTGGGAGGAGTGTCCAATGTTATATGACAGCAAGTCAGGTTACTGTGGGAGGAGTGTCCAATGTTATATGACAGCATGTCAGGTTACTGTGGGAGGAGCGTCCAATGTTATATGACAGCAAGTCAGGTTACTGTGGGAGGAGTGTCCAATGTTATTTGACAACAAGTCAGGTTACTGTGGGAGGAGCGTCCAATGTTATATGACAGCATGTCAGGTTACTGTGGGAGGAGTGTCCAATGTAATATGACAGCATGTCAGGTTACTGTGGGAGGAGTGTCCAATGTTATATGACAGCAAGTCAGGTTACTGTGGAAGGAGCGTCCAATGTTATATGACAGCAAGTCAGGTTACTGTGGGAGGAGTGTCCAATGTTATATGACAGCATGTCAGGTTACTGTGGGAGGAGGTCCAATGTTATAAGACAGCATGTCAGGTTACTGTGGGAGGAGTGTCCAATGTTATATGACCGCATGTCAGGTTACTGTGGGAGGAGGTCCAATGTTATATGACAGCATGTCAGGTTACTGTGGGAGGAGTGTCCAATGTTATATGACCGCATGTCAGGTTACTGTGGGAGGAGTGTCCAATGTTATATGACAGCATGTCAGGTTACTGTGGGAGGAGTGTCCAATGTTATATGACAGCAAGTCAGGTTACTGTGGGAGAAGTGTCCAATGTTATTTGACAACAAGTCAGGTTACTGTGGGAGGAGTGTCCAATGTTATTTGACAACAAGTCAGGATACTGTTGGTGGAGTGTCCAATGTTATATGACAGCATGTCAGGTTACTGTGGGAGGAGTGTCCAATGTTATATGACCGCATGTCAGGTTACTGTGGGAGGAGTGTCCAATGTTATATGACAGCATGTCAGGTTACTGTGGGAGGAGTGTCCAATGTTCTTTGACAACAAGTCAGGTTACTGTGGGAGAAGTGTCCAATGTTATTTGACAACAAGTCAGGATACTGTGGGAGGAGTGTACAATGTTATATGACAGCAAGTCAGGTTACTGTGGGAGGAGTGTCCAATGTTATATGACAGCAAGTCAGGTTACTGTGGGAGGAGTGTCCAATGTTATATGACAGCAAGTCAGGTTACTGTGGGAGGAGTGTCCAATGTTATATGACAGCATGTCAGGTTACTGTGGGAGGAGTGTCCAATGTTATATGACAGCAAGTCAGGTTACTGTGGGAGGAGTGTCCAATGTTATATGACAGCAGGTCAGGTTACTGTGGGAGGAGCGTCCAATGTTATATGACAGCAAGTCAGGTTACTGTGGGAGGAGTGTCCAATGTTATTTGACAACAAGTCAGGTTACTGTGGGAGGAGCGTCCAATGTTATATGACAGCAAGTCAGGTTACTGTGGGAGGAGTGTCCAATGTAATATGACAGCATGTCAGGTTACTGTGGGAGGAGTGTCCAATGTTATATGACAGCAAGTCAGGTTACTGTGGAAGGAGCGTCCAATGTTATATGACAGCAAGTCAGGTTACTGTGGGAGGAGTGTCCAATGTTATATGACCGCATGTCAGGTTACTGTGGGAGGAGGTCCAATGTTATAAGACAGCATGTCAGGTTACTGTGGGAGGAGTGTCCAATGTTATATGACCGCATGTCAGGTTACTGTGGGAGGAGGTCCAATGTTATATGACAGCATGTCAGGTTACTGTGGGAGGAGTGTCCAATGTTATATGACCGCATGTCAGGTTACTGTGGGAGGAGTGTCCAATGTTATATGACAGCATGTCAGGTTACTGTGGGAGGAGTGTCCAATGTTATATGACAGCAAGTCAGGTTACTGTGGGAGAAGTGTCCAATGTTATTTGACAACAAGTCAGGTTACTGTGGGAGGAGTGTCCAATGTTATTTGACAACAAGTCAGGATACTGTTGGTGGAGTGTCCAATGTTATATGACAGCATGTCAGGTTACTGTGGGAGGAGTGTCCAATGTTATATGACCGCATGTCAGGTTACTGTGGGAGGAGTGTCCAATGTTATATGACAGCATGTCAGGTTACTGTGGGAGGAGTGTCCAAAGTTCTTTGACAACAAGTCAGGTTACTGTGGGAGAAGTGTCCAATGTTATTTGACAACAAGTCAGGATACTGTTGGTGGAGTGTCCAATGTTATATGACAGCAAGTCAGGTTACTGTGGGAGGAGAGTCCAATGTTATATGACAGCCCACAAACAGGTGCTGAAAAACCAAGGATCATCATCAGAGCCAATGTGGAAATCGTAACAAGGATCACAGGTTCCTGGTAGACCTAAGGAATACAACTCTGTCATACAAATCCTGGTGCGTTAGACAACTGGGTCACAAGCGCCCCCTCTGGTACTAAGACTTAGTATGACAGGACTGAAAAGGTTAAAGACGCCATTCCCTTGACACACAAGTTCTGCAACTATCACTGAATACCATACTAATGTCATGATTCAAAACAACTGTTTTTCACTGGTGACATTAAACAGTGTCATCCCATACATAAAAAAAAGGTATAGCTGACTAAGAACGCTGCATTCACTGTCAGGATGGGAACCTGACCAGACCGGTGTATCATATTTCTGTAAATTAATAATAAACTTGTCAACTGAATGGGCCTTTGGCAAGATGGCAGCTTACCAGGCGGCACTGTAGTTGATTGCCTGTCTGTGGTTCTTGCTTCACTGACCCCCCACAGACCCTTACACTTCCTTGTGTAGGGGTTTGGGAAGACTACACCCCTTTACAATCCTCTGGGTAAGGCTCTCATTGCTGATGAAACATCCCTTTACGATCCCTTGGGTTAGGCTCTCATTGCTTGTGAAACATCCCTTTACCATCCCTTGGGTTAGGCTCTCATTGCCGATGAAACATCCCTTTACGATCCTCTGGGTTAGACTCACATTGCTGATGAAACATCCCTTTACGATCCCTTGGGTAAGGCTCTCCTTGCCGATGAAACATCCGTTTACGATCCTCTGGGTTAGGCT